CGAAATTTTTTGTGAAAATCCGCGAATTATTTTTGTTTTGTTTTACGATGTACACAAAGAAAACATGTTCACAACTAATTTAGAAGATGGGCGCGAAGCGCCCTCTAAGGCTAGAAAGAAGGGCGCGAAGCGCCTTGAATTTCTAGTATTGTATAATTGTATAATGTACTAGTATTTACACACATAAATATATATATTATATATATGTTTCATGTATATATTGTATAATGCACTAGTATGGAGACCCAGGTTTACCAGCAATCTTAACTATCAGCTTGACATTCTCTGGAATAACCTGCCTCTTGACTTAAAAAGAAGCAACTCTCTAATCTATATATAAATTTGGCTTGTCTGTTTGTCTGTCTGTCTGTTTGTTTGTTTGTTTGTTTGTATCCAATAAACGTCAAAACGGCTGAACCGATCGGGCCCAAATTTTTTGTGGGACATCTAGGGACCCCAGGGAAGGTTTATGAAAAATAAAAATTTCAAATATTTGTCTCTATCAAAATTCGATCGTCATTAAATTTTTAAAAATTTTGAAAATCCGCGAAATTTTTTGTGAAAATCCGCGAATTATTTTTGTTTTGTTTTACGATGTACACAAAGAGAACATGTTCACAACTAATTTAGAAGATGGGTGCGAAGCGCCCTCTAAGGCTAGAAAGAAGGGCGCGAAGCGCCTTGAATTTCTAGTTATATTTAAAAATAGACTACTAAGTTCTCTTTTTGAAAATTACATTACAACGTGTTATAAACCGAATTGCTATTCATTTGAAACTTATTAGATATGTTTTAATATGCTTTGATATTTGTTGTGTACATGTCAGAAAATTACTTCAAACTCTAGTTATTCTAATCAATGTATAAACTATTTTGCATAAGATAAAATCGCACCCTAATCTCTAATCTTCTTTAATCTATTTAATTGAAATGTGTTGTTATCATTATTGAAATTAGGTGGAAAAAATAATCAAAACAGCCAACAGCTATTTTCCACCTAATTGCTTTATACTTGTACTGTTAATATAATCATCAATTTGTAATTGTAAACTCGTTCTGTACACAGATACATGTATTTTAGCAATAAACGTTATCTATCTATCTAAACTTTCCTTTTAAAAATCAACCGACTCCACTTTTTTGTTGCGTGAACGAAATTTTCGCGATAAGAGATTGAACGAAAATTTTAAAACCCTAATCTAAACTCGGCCTTCTAGAAATTCTAGAAAAGGAATATTTTGGTTTATAAAGTTTTGGGACTTTCTATATGTATTACAGTAATCAGAGAAGTCTCGCTTATTCCCAAATAGGATATTTTAAAATTTAGTTTTTTTACATTAAGCACGCAAGCCCGATTATTAGAGATTTTTGCGGAGCTGTAAAATCTAGAATGAATAAAAAATACAAACCAAAAATATCTTATTTAACCCAAATAGTTAAAAAAATCGTTTTGTCATGTTAATGTTTATTTATGAATCCCTCTGTATGATTGCCTGAGAATTAGCTATGTATACAATATTATGTGTTTCAGTATCGACATGTAGATAATAGACAGAATTATAATCACCATCAGAACACTGCACAGATAAGGAAACCTTAGAGTAGTCAGCAGACCTAAGGGACTGATTACTCATCTCAAACTTTTAATTAATTTAATTAATGAATTCTGCCAGATCAGGCAGTCAAAGCTTGAAATATCTAAAGTTTACACCAGAAGGTTGCAAAGATAGTGATAATATTAATTTAGAATTTGGAGCGAGTAATCGATTCAATTTTGTTTTGAATATACGTTGTCGTATATATCAATACAATGAAGACGACTTTAGATTTCCACTATTGATATCTACCAAGCTTTCCAACATCATGGATACACATAAATATGTAAACAAAAAATTGTCAATTTACAGCTTCTCTTTGTTTACTGAAATTTGAAAAAAGAATGTCAGAAATAGAAAATTTGTATTTATTGTACTGATATAATACCGACCACTTTCAAAATACAAATCCAAAAACAAATAAATCCAATCATAAAGGTTTCAGAGCTGCCAGCAATGTTATCTCATCTCTGTGTTGAAAAAGAAAATTATAGTGGGGTCTCATACAAACCTATAATTGCTTTTGGGTATTCTATATTTTCAATATTTTCTATTCTTTTCAAGAATAATATATATACTTTGTTCATCTATTACAGTTATACACTGTATTACCGGGGTGTTAAAGCTTTCTTTGCGGCTTTCGGATTCTTTTAAAATTCTATTCTCTGCAACTTTTGAGTTTTCCAGAAAAAAATCCTGAATTAGGAAAACCAAAATCCAATCGTTTGTTTGTTGCTGAATCAAGATGTTGCACAAGGAAACATAAACTCAATATAATTCAGGCCACCCAATTTTGTTGCATAAAACTCAATAAAATTCAGGCCACCTAATTCTGTTGCATAAAACTCAATATAATTCAGGCCACCTAATTCGGTTGCATGAAACTCAATATACTTCATGCCATCTAATTCTGTTGCATAATTCAGGCCACCCAATTCTGTTGCATAAAACTCAATAAAATTCAGGCCACCCAATTCTGTTGCATAAAACTCAATATACTTCATGCCATCTAATTCTGTTGCATAAAACTCAATATAATTCAGGCCACCCAATTCTGTTGCATAAAACTCAATAAAATTCAGGCCACCCAATTCTGTTGCATAAAACTCAATATAATTCAGGCCACCTAATTCTGTTGCATGAAACTCAATATAATTCAGGCAACCTCTCAATATAATTCAGGCCACCTAATTCTGTTGCATGAACCTCGTTGGGTTACCTACATTCTGGACATTCTAGCCGGGCTGGTACTGTAAAGATCAGATGGGCATTTTTGTATCATTTAACAATTAATTAATAAAATTTGCTCAACTTTTCTGATTACTGAGAAGCTCCTTAAAAGCCAAAGTTATAGAAACATAGAAAGTCCGAATTTTGTCTATTGTTTATTAAGGACACCAGAGCACGATCCCATAAAGAAAAAGATGACATTTAAAATGTATAACTGTGAAGTTAAATATATTATCAGACATTTTTATCTTATAAAGACATTTTAAATCAAAATTGAAATACCTTTATTCTGTATACTCAAATGGTTTTCAACAATTAACATCGAGCTTAAAGAATCTTTGGACTTTTTAATGTTTTATTTTATTGGAAGACATAATTAAAAACTGAAAATAGGTACAATGTACATTAAATTCTTAAGCAATAGTTTTGATTCTGTATAAAATGTCTTGTTTGAGTATTTAGAGTTGGATACAGGGTGTTGTTCAGTTCTGCATACAGGGTGTTGTTCAGTTCTGCATACAGGGTGTTGTTCAGTTCTGCATACAGGGTGTTGTTCAGTTCTGCATACAGGGTATTGTCTTGTCTTGTCTTGTCTTGTCTTGTCTTGTCTACCTGATTAGGACAAGTTTTTTCTCCTTTTATATCATCAACCAGCATCTTGAGTAGATGATGTGCAAGTATCTGAGGTCCAGTCCAAACATCGTTCATAAAACCTTGATCTACAACTATGGTATATCCTTTTCCAATATTAGCCTCGCACATACCACCCTAGAAATAAAATCATTTAATGCAAAAAAAACTTTTATTAACGACACTGTGACAATCCAAACGTAATTTTAAGTGACCATCCGCTTTTAGAACGATATGTCCGATTCGATGTTTGAGAAAAAATGATTGAGTTAACCCTGTTTTTCTATCTGAATATTGATTATTCTAAATTGTGGTTCTTCGGATTTGTGTAGCAGAGGAAACGGAGGGGAATTCAGAGAGATTACAACTTTTAGTCGACAAAAAGACACCAATAACTTCCTCATTGTTTATCAACTTTTTATTTGACAGAAGGACACCAATAATTTCCACATTGTTTATCAACTTTTAGTGGACAGAAAGATACCAATACCTTCCTCATTGTTTATCAACTTTTAGTCGACAGAAAGACACCAATACCTTCCTCATTGTTTATCAACTTTTTATTTGACAGAAAGACACCAATAATTTCCACATTGTTTATCAACATTTAGTCGACAGAAAGACACCAATACCTTCCTCATTGTTTATCAACTTTTTATTTGACAGAAAGACACCAATAATTTCCACATTGTTTATCAACATTTAGTCGACTGAAAGATACCAATACCTTCCACATTGTTCATCAACTTTTAGTCGACAGAAAGACACCAATAACTTCCTCATTGTTTATCAACTTTTGGTCGACAGAAAGATACCAATAACTTCCCCATTGTTTACAACTTTTGGTCGACAGAAAGATACCAATAACTTCTTTATTGTTTATCAACTTTTAGTCGACAGAAAGATACTAATAACTTCTTTATTGTTTATCATCTTTTTGTTCAACAGAAAGATACTAATAACTTCCTCATTGTTTATTCGATAAATGTCTTAAGGAAACCATTGAGGATCGGACATGAAACGTTTTTTGAATAGGGGCTTCTTAAAGATATAGGTTTAGAGTTTCTTTAAAGAAACTTTACGTGTTATTTCAATTGACCCTTCATGCAAAAATGTCAATTTCCCGATTTACAACGGCACTCTTTAATGCTATGTCTGTTTAAGTATGAATTATTTATTCATGATTTAGTTCATATAAACTGTTTATTTGCGGTTTCTCTTCGAAAGTAACTTGCGCATTAATTGCTTAAAAGGAGCAAATGAGAAATTCACAGAAATAAACACTTTTCGAGTCAGACAAACTTCCACATTTTTATCAGATTAAGGTTTTAAGAGAACCGTTGTGAATCGCAAATTGCCGGCCATCTTTGCATCGATGGGCACTTGAAATTACGCTTCCATTCCATTTAACTAGTTAAATTACCTGACTGAATCCGCCATATGTGTGACCATAAACAGCTGTTTTGCAATCCTTGGAGAATGTGTTGAAGACAAGGAAGACGACTGCATCACAACCAGAATTAGCGACAGATAAAACATCCGCGGCAGGGTTCGTGGGATACCTGAAAAGTAGATATTACTGCTTTCACGAAGGACAATTTTTTTCCTTAGAATTTAACCTTTTCTCTCATTGTTTTGTACACATTTAAAACTCTAAAATGTGGCATATTTCTATTAAGAACCTGAGGCAGTGTTTCCTTTTTTCCTTTATGGTAGGGTCTTTAACTTGATTCCGAAATCGACCAACCTTTTATAGCACTAAGCAGTGAGCAATTATTAGCATTTATATTAGCATTGCAATATGTTATTGAAAGCGTTTTTAAAGTAAAAAACTGACAAATTTTGAGATAATTATGAAATTTTAAATTTAAAAAAATGTTAAAAAATACTAATTAAGTAGGTTATGTTTGAATTTTTGGCATAACATCAACAATAATTATTTTTTTTAGATTCTAAAACCTTAAATTTTACTTCAGACTCTGGGATTTTATTTCAGACTCTGGGATTTTACTTCAGACTCTAGGAGTTTAGCCCAGACTTTGGTATTTTTTTCGAAACCCTGGGATTTTACTTCAGACCCAAGGATTTTACTCCGGACCTTAGTATTTTACTCCAGACTTTGGTATTTTACTCCAGACCTTAGGATTTTACTCCAAGCCCAGAGATTTTACTCAAAACCCTGCGGATTGTAGTCTTAACCTTGGGATTTTACTTCAGACTTTGGGATTTTACTCCGGACTCTTGGATTTTACTCCAAGCCCTGGGATTTTACTCAAAAACCTGCGATTTTACTCCAACTGCAACTCCAACTCTGGGATTTTCTCTGGACTTCGGGGTTTTACTCCAAACCCTGGGATTTTACTCCAAACCCTGCGGTTTTACTCCAACTGCAACTCCAACTCTGGGATTTTCTCCGGACTTTGGGATTTTACTCAAAGCCCTGGGATTTTACTACAAACAAAGGAATGTTACTCCAAACCAAGGGATTTTCCTCAAACCCCTGGGATTTTACTCCCAATCCTGGGATTTTACTCCCACCCTGGGATTTTACTCCTAAACCCCGCATGATCTTCCAGCCTTCTCCCAACCATTTTTAACCTGACAAATTAGAATTTTACCAGGCAAATCTAGCTGACTGTACTGAGAGAAAGAAAGAAAAAATAATTAAATAATAAAGAACAAAAAAGCATGCTCATCGTTCTTATTCTTCAAGACAGAAACTCATATTTGATTTTTCAAGTAATTTGTAGATTTATGATCTTTTGTTCAAATTTGGTTCTTTTATTGTCCTGGTATAGTGAAGTGATGTTTTATGTTTATGAATACTGCATCATATAGAATATTTAGAAGTTCAGGCTGCACAATGTACAATATTCACATTTTTAAATATAAAACCATTCTAGCGCATCCCAAAAAAGGACTTAACCCAGAGAAATTTAAACTATATCGGGTTAACGTGGATGAAATTTAAAAGAAATTATACATTTTTTTAAAATTCCCTTCTATCTAATTTTTAACTTTGCGTAATATTATTTAATGTTGAAAATGCATAAGTAGAAAACCGTGGAAACATTATCTAGCGAACTTTACAGATTTAACTAAAACTAGTTCAGAACTTTTAGAACCTGATTTTCCAACTACATGTATATAAAGATCCAACAAGGCAAAATTTGTATGAATGAATCTATTTGTGCAATAAAAGCCAAAAGCTCATTATAAGCCTTAAACGACTGAATCAAATGTGACAACGTGTTGTGCCTACTGCCTAGACCCGACTCAAAACTCTGGACAGGTAAAAATAGGCTCTCTCAAATATATTAAAATCCTTTGATCCTTAAAGGAATCAGAAATTAGAACTGTTGTGTTGTAAATCTCGGGATAAAGCATTGATCTCCATCTAAAGCAGAACTACAAATTAGTTTAATTCTTAAAGGAATCAGAAATTAGAACTGTTGTGTCGTAAATCTCGGGATAAAGCATTGATCTCCATCTAAAGCAAAACTACGGATTAGTTTAATTCCTTAAAGGAATAACAAATTAGAACTGTTGTGTTGTAAATCTCGGGATAAAGCATTGATCTCCATCTAAAGCAGAACTACAAACTAGTTTAATTCCTTTTTGTAATCCCTTGATGGACCCGGGCTAACTTTATTTGATCCTCAAATTCAAAAGTGTGAACGTTGGATATCGAGATCGACAAGCCTTCAAGATTAACATTATCCACAAAAAGTTCCGATATCTGTTTCTAAATATATGTGTTTTCACCTCTGGGTTGCATCATGTCTTGAAAAGGGTCCCTTCCAGACAAGCTTGAGGTTGCTTTCTCCAATCATTCTAAACATTAATATAAATCAAATAAATTGAAATTGAAATTCTTAAAAAAATATGAAACTGATTCTATATTTTATCTGTGAAATAGAAATCAACCCATATCCCCATTTCTAATTTTGCGAGCACTAGAATGGGAGAGGAAACAAAATTAACCCATCTAAGCTTTGTATGAATTAGATATCCATGTTTTTGTTTTTGAACATTGTTTTATTTCTATAGTGGTTTTTCTGCAGGAGGGTCTTTCACATTTCTTACTTCGGAAACATTGGAGAAATTATCAGAATTGAATTGTTTCCAGGGTAACATTGGGCATCGGACATGCTTCTCTTTATATGGAAATTTACTTAAAATTACGACACCACTCCCTATCTTCCTGGAGCTATATAAAGACATATAAAATTAATCATTATAATTCTAGTGAACAAAAGAGTGAAAAGATGATTAAAATAAATCTTAAGAAATTGAAAGAAAAGAGATCCTCCTTATTTTTAAAATCATTTCATATGAAGTTTCAAAAATGATTTAATTAATAAGATGGAATCTATTGAAAATACTTACTTTGACTGACAAGAAAGATTGATTAAAACAACGTGTATTTAATCTTTATGTTGTCTATGCAGACCAGAGATACAGTTATAGAGATCGATTGAAACCTATGATATGCAATATTTCCCACAGCATGTTCTACTGTGTACAAGTACGTACACGACCAATCAGCAAACATCTGTATTCAGGGATATTTAAGGATCCTTTGGATACGAAACACAAATATACTTAATTCATAAATGTTATGTTTCATGTTTAAAATTGGAATATTTTTTTTTAAGTTGTAAAACTTAATCCCTGAATGGGTAGTATATTCAACAAATGGCCGTGAGATGGCACTCTAAAAACCTATTGTAAAAACGTAGCATGTCGTGCTGGGTTAACTTAGGCCTACGTAGCCCACAATGTGAAAGGATATAATCAGTCTTCGTAGTCTGTGATGTAGACTATAAAACTGAAAATTGTACAACCCCTTGTACAGCTGAAACACTCCGGTATGGTGGAGACGACATGATCTATCTAGTCTAATTTATAATTACCTATTTGTTTCAAATGTCATTTCATTCACGTACTTTCTCACCCCTTCAGCAGATCCATCAGCCCAATTCTAGACATATATGTTTCTACAATTATCTTCCTAACTTCGTAAATAAACCTATTCATCCCTACCTACCTGCCTACCTGCCTACCTACTTCCCTACCGACCTACCTACCTATACCTACCTCCATACTTTCCAACCCACCTACCTACCTACCTACCTACCTACCTACCTACCTACCTACCTACCTACCTACCTATCTACCTACCTACCTACCTATACCTACCTATCTACCTACACCTACCTACGTACCTACCTACCTACGTACCTACCTACCTACCTATTTGCCTACCTACCTACCTACCTACCTACCTACACCTACCTACGTACCTTCCTACCTACATACCTACCTACCTACCCAACTACCTACCTATTTGCCTACCTGCCTACCTACCTACCTGCCTACCTACCTACCTATCTACCTACCTAACTACCTATACCTACCTATCTACCTACACCTACCTACGTACCTACCTACCTACCTATTTGCCTACCTACCTACATACCTACCTACCCACCTACCTACCTACTTTTCTACCAACCTACCTACCTTATTACAAGCTACATGACTGGACTGAATATCATTTCCCAGGAAGTAGCAAAGGTCTAATGTTCTAAATAAAAGGTCTAATGTTCTAAATAAAAGGTCTAATGTTCTAAATAAAAGGTCTAATGTTCTAAATAAAAGGTCTAATGTTCTAAATAAAAGACAATTTCATTTAGTTTAAAAATTTAACATATTATTAACTCTTGGTTAAAAATTACAAGATTAAAAAATAAATAAATTTAATAATTATTTTAAAAATCTAAAGGTATTTATACCTGGAAGCAAGACGACCGGTAAACTTTTCAGGAAGAAGATCATCCTTAGGTTCCTTTGGTTCTTCGGATCTAAACAAAACATTTTCTTGAAATGTCAATTAAATTCCATTAACGTGAGAACTTATCTCAGTTGTTCTCTCAACCACTTAAAAGTTTTCAACCTTAAATAAAAGAGATTAAGGTTTAAAAGCTAATTTAATTTTTAAAATGATAGATTTTTGTATTAAAAAGTTTTCCATCTGTTTGCTTTTTACTTTTATTCCAAAATTGAATCCTACTGTTTGTTCGGAGCGTATATAGGGCATCAGTGTGCAATGTGAAGATAGGAAAAACCAATCTATACTCTATACCTGACAGGAGTAGCTACTGGTCCTGAGTTGGGAGCTAGGACGGATCCTGTATCTAGGTAGACCTGGGGTAGAGGGTAGGACTGAGTAAACAGAACAGTTGGAACCTACAGCACATTTTGTTTTGAGCGATTGTTCATTGTACATTGTACATAAATCTATTTTTATAACGAAGTAATCTCTGTTTGTCTGTTTGGGTGTGTGTTTGTTTGTTTGTATGTTCGATCATATTTTGGGGAACTCTGTAAAACCGCAGGAATCCTTTATGCTTGGTTTCAAAACAGGGAAAACTAGGCAAAGTATAATTCCCAAGTTAGTTTATAATAATCATGCTTTAACGACTTGAACTGCATCTTCTTAATTAATTGTTCTCAATGAAGATTTACAAACAAGTGTTTTTTTTTAATTTAGCTTTTCCAATGTTTTGTTTTAAATCATAACGATTTCATATTATTTAGAGCAGATATACAAGGAACTGAACACTGGCCACTTATTTGGGTATCTAATACCTAAATCTTTGTAGCCTGGGAATTTAAACCATAAATATTTTAAACTTTTGATCATTTATAGTTTGAAATATCTAAATTAGAGTTCGTGACAAGTGTTCAATTCGTTCCAAGAAAAGACATTTTTTTCCATATTAATTCTTATAAAAGTACAACCTGTGGAATAATGAATATAGAAAGAGAGGAATGAAGAAGGGCCCCGAAAACAGTGAAATGAGCCAACATGGTTCTTCTAAGGTGTTTAGGCCTAAAGTAATCCTTCTTCAGTTAGACGCCGCATATAAAGGAAACTAAGCAACTATGCGTTTGGAAACCAACCGAAGTTAATCCAAACATTTATAAAGAATATTTGTTGTCATAATAATCCAAACATTTATAAAGAATATTTGTTGTCATGTTAATTAAAATTTATCTAACATTATTATCAAAATTATATCTTTATGTTCTTATAAAGTTAAGGCCTAAGGGCATTAAAACATTTTTAAAGGATTTTTTCATTAAAAAATGTTTTGACATACTTTTTTGTTTTAAGTGTACAAAATTAAAACCTGGTATAAAGTTGCAAACTAAAAGGTAAGGTCTCCAAACGTTGTCTGTAATGCTTTGTTTATAGTATTTTCTCTAAACCAGACCTGTAGAGTATTCTTATAAAAACTGGTCAAATGTCTATACCTTGAGCACTAAACTATACTCTTATCTATTCCATCTTTACCGAACCTTTTTATCTCCTCCTTTATATTCTTATTCTCCTCCTCCTCCACTATGCTAGCCAGCTGTCCCCTTCTTCTTTTCCCTCCTTCCCTCCTTCCCCCCTTTCCTCTAATTTCACTCTCTTCCCTCCCTTCCCTCCCTTCCCTCCCTTAACTTCCCTTCTCTTCTCGTTCTTCACTTCCCTTACATTCCCTGCTCTTCTCTTCTATTCTTTTTTCTTCTTTTCCCTTCCTTCCCTTCTAATTCCTTTTCTTTTCTTCTCTTTCTTTCTTCTTTATTCTCTTAACTTCCCTTCTCTTCTCTTCTCTTTTCGTCTCTTCCATTCTCTTTCCTTCCCTTTCCTTCTCTTTCCTTCCTTTCTCTTCCCTTTCTTTCTCTTCTCTTTCCTTCTCTTCCTTTATTTTCCCTTCTCTTCCATTCTTTTCTCTTCTCTTTCTTTCTCTTCTCTTTTCTTCTCTTTCCCTATCTTATCTTCTCTTCTCCTCTCTTCTCTTTTCTTTCTCTTCTCTTCTATTCTAGTCTCAAACAGTTAAAATAGGACTTTCGCCAATGTATCCCTTCCTTTACTATTGAATTTATTTGTAATATACAACAAACATGTATATTGTACATTGTACTATATTGATCCCTGCTAGACATTTTCTGTGTGAACTCTTACACTTGTTATATATCCGTTTATTAAATATTTTACCAAATGCATTTATACACGAACATATTGTGTATTATATGATAAATATATTCATATATTCCTAAATGTCAATTCTACATAGTAATGTTAATTGTACCTTAAGTAGCCAATTTTTTTTAATTGTCAATTCCTATAGATGAACATGTTAATTGTATTTTGAGCTGTAATCTATTTAAAGTTGTCAATTTTCTATGTTGTTGTCAATTGTATCTTCCGCTGTCGATTCTTTTTTAAGTTGTAAGTTATAAATAATAATGTTAATTGTATCTTGAGTTGTCAATTCTAAAAATGTTGTTAATTGTATCTTGAGTTGTCAATTATATTAAAAGTTGTCGATTCTTTTAAAAGTTGCGAATTTTCTAAAATGTTGCTACTTGTATCTTGAGTAGTTAATTCTATTTAAAGTTGTGAATTTTCTATAATGTTCCTACTTGTATCTTGAGTAGTCACTTCTATTTAAAGTTGTGAATTTTCTATAATGTTGCTACTTGTATCTTGAGTAGTCAATTCTATTAAAAGTTGTAAATTTTCTAAAATGTTGTCACTTGTATCATGAGTAGTCAATTCAATTTAAAGTTGAATTTTCTATAATGTTGCTACTTGTATCTTGAGTAGTTAATTCTATTTAAAGTTGTGAATTTTCTATAATGTTGCTACTTGTATCTTGAGTAGTCAATTCTATTAAAAGTTGTAAATTTTCTAAAATGTTGTCACTTGTATCATGAGTAGTCAATTCAATTTAAAGTTGTCAATTTTCTATAATGTTGCTACTTGTATCTTGAGTAGTCAATTCTATTCAAAGTTGTAAATTTTCTATAATGTTGTCACTTGTATCATGAGTAGTCAATTCAATTTAAAGTTGTCAATTTTCTATAATGTTGCTACTTGTATCTTGAGTAGTCAATTCTATTTAAAGTTATTATTTTCTATAATGTTGTCAATTGTATCATAAGAAGTCAATTTTCTAAAATGTTGTCAATTGAATCTTGAGTGGGTAAATTCTTTATAAAGGGCTTAGCACCCGTTGGGACCTGAAAAACCCCATCGAAACAATACAGTTTACTGATACGGGGGGGGGGCTACGCCCTTATAGACCCCCCCCCCCGAGTACGCCTCTGTCTTGAGTTGTGAATTCTGTTTAAAATAGTAAATTTTAAATGATGCTGTCAACCATCTCTTAAGAAACAATACTTTTTAATTGTCAATTTTATATAACGTTGTCAATTCAATCTTGACCTGTAAAATCAATCTTAAGCGGTCAGTTTAAGCTGTTCAGTCTATCTGTAGCTGTCATTTCTGTTATCAATTTTTTCTTTAGCTATCTCTCTGTCTTTATTTCTATCTATTTATTTATCTATCTATCTACCTAGGTGTATAAACTACAGCTAGAATAAATGCATAGATCTACAAGATTAAACAGTCTATAAAGCTGGATTGTAAACCTTTCTAATCTAAACCATCAAGAAATCTTGAAACCTTAGTTCACTCTCCTGAGTCTGAAACTAAAATCATAAAACTGGGTTTAGGAATCCCTGGGTCCATGTCAAATCGATATTTTCATGTTGGATTAAAATATTAGGTTTTTTACTCATAACTTCACATTTTGAAGAGAGACATAAGTTTATGGATATCATTTTAGGGTTTCCCAAACCGGGTTTTATTCAACTGTTACGACTGATCTTTTCTGGCTCTCTGTATAGTTTACTCATTTTTAATCGGACAGGACAAAAATGCATAGAAAGTACATGGACAAAGTACAAAAATGCATAGAAAGTACGTGGATAAAGTACAGAAATGCATAGAAAGCTCATGGATAAAGTACAGAAATGCATAGAAAGTACATGGATAAAATACAATAATGCATAGAAAGTTCATGGATAAAGTAGAAAAATGTACAAAAATTCAAATCTTAGACAAACTGAATTAAAGTGGATTTAAATATGTTAATGATCGAATTTAAATTCTTTGTATTTCTAGACAATTTATTATTCAACAATTGTTTGAAAATACATTTTGGTCTGGGTTGACCAAGGTTGTTTATTAAAGTTGCTGCGCTCCAATGTACGTAAAATGTCTTCTCCATAACAATGCACAAATCCTTATATGACGTAACTGATGAAGTGACAACGTTGCTGGTGAGAGGGGGAAGGATTTTCTCCGTTTTTTACAGCTGAATAGCGGAGAAATCCTTCCCCCCTCTCACCAACAAGAACTGTCCTCGTCATTATTTTCATCCGGAGTCGAATCCGAGAATTGAATAATTAAGGAGAAATTAATCACAAGTCTAAGCTGGGATTGAGACTATAACACGGCTTAAGCCTTGAAATATGTTGAAACTACTTTTTCTCAGAGTTGAGACTAATTTAAAAACTAGAAAATCCATAGATTTCAACAAAACTAACCATGGTCGGGTCTAACATTAAACATATCTGTTGAGAATAAGGAATTTAGACTCGAGAATATACTTTAGAATCGCGGCCTCTGACAATGTGTCCCACGAAACATGACAGTTGGTGAATAGTTTTGAATGTCCTCTTTCATATCAAGTTTTATATATAAAACCTTTTTGCAGTTTACTTTGCCAAAAAAAATTATTTAGTGAAATATATTTTGCTCTGAAATCAATTTTACTATAATAAGACTACCAAGCGAAGTTTTTTATTTTTCTCTTTGGTATCAATGAAAGAAATTATGGAAATAGACATTTAAAACTACTCACCAACTGTTATGCTTCCTGGGACACCCTGCACTATACCAAAGTGAATAAATACTAAAGTGGAACAGACTAAGGAAACGACGACAGGTTGGGCCATAAGGTTTTATTTGGTTTGGAAATAATTTCATGAAAAGATTTCGTTTGGAAAGTAAAGACTAGAAAAAAATAGACTAAAGACATGGCTAAAATTCACTTCTGAAATCTTAATTTACGTTAACTTATATTTAAGTTAAATACAAATTCTAAGTCTGTGTTTGTAAACAAAGGGAGTCCAGTTACTGTACACTCCGTATACAGACCAATTTATATATATATATACATATTTCTAAATACTTGGGACATAAAATGTCGTCATCCAACTATGAGTTTGGTCCACTTTAGTATTTATTCACTTTGGCACTATACAGGCAATATATAGTATACAATACATTGCTAATCTAAATAACCTGGAATAATACTTATTGATCAAAGACTTGAAAGCAAAGAGAATAGAATATATATTAGAGGGGAATTTACTAGAAAAAAGTGTAAAACGGCCATTTTGTTGTACTGTTTCCATACTGCAGGTGTACTTTGAAATGGATAGTCTAGGGAACATACTGTATTAATGTACTCTACTGCATATAATTTGTGAACATTTACATGATTTGTACACTTTGAACTCCCTTTCAGGCTGAAAGGGACGACAAAATTCATACCGAGGGATTGTATAAATTCCACTCTACTATATATTCTATTCTCTTTGCTTAAAAGACGTCGTTGACTTTAGCAAAAGTTTGTAACATTTATTACGCCCGTGGTCCTTCCATTTCCAAGATGTGGTTTGGCTTTTCTTAGCGTTTAGAAATACCAGAGATATTAAGAACTTTGTTGTATAAATTAATAAGATTAAATCATTAAAAAATCTGAACGAAATCAAACATATCTCCGGTAATTATAAAAGCGAAGCAATATATACTGTATATATACCGTATACAGTATATATACTGTATATATACTGTATACAGTATATATTGCTTTGCTGTTATACTGTATACAGTATATATACAGTATACAGTAAAGTGCATACTTTATAACTCACCCGAATCTATCTTGAACCATCCTGATCTATCCTAAACCAACCTGATCTATCCTGAACCAACATGATCTATCCTGAACCAATCTGATCTATCCTGAACCAACATGATCTATCCTGAACTAATCTGATCTATCCTGAACCAACATGATCTATCCTGAACCAATCTGATCTATCCTGAACCAACCTGATCTATCCTGAACCTACCTGATCTATCCTGAACCAATCTGGTCTATCCTAAACCAACCTGATCCATCCTGAACCAATCTGGTCTATCCTAAACCAACCTGATCTATCCTGAACCAACCTGATCTATCCTGAACCAACATGATCTATCCTGAATCAATCTGATCTATCCTGAACCAACCTGATCTATCCTGAACCTACCTGATCTTTCCTGAACCAATCTGGTCTATCCTAAACCAACCTGATTTATCCTGAACCAACCTGATCTATCCTGAACCAACCTGATCTATCCTAAACCAGCCTGATCTATCCTGAACCAACATGATCTATCCTGAACAAATCTGGTCTATCCTAAACCAACCTGATCTATCCTGAACCAACCTGATCTATCCTGAACCAACATGATCTATCCTGAACCAACCTAGTCTGTCCTAAACCAACCTGATCTATTCTGAACCAACCTGATCTATCTTGAACCAACCTGGTCAATACTGAACCAACCTGATCTATTATGAATCATGCTGGTCTATCCTAAACCAATCTGATCTATCCTGAACCAACCTAGTCTATCCTGAACCAACCTGATCTATTCTGAACTAACTTGATCTATCCTTAACCAACATGATCTATTCTGAACCAACCTGATCTATCCTAAACCAACCTGATCTATCCTGAACCAACCTGATCCACCCTGAGCCAACCTTGTCTATCCTGAACCAACCTGATCTATTCTGAACCAACTTGATCTATCCTTAACCAACATGATCTATTCTGAACCAACCTGATCTATCCTAAACCAACCTGATCTATCCTGAACCAACCTGATCTATCCTGAACCAATCTGATCTATCCTGAACCAACCTGGTCTATCCTAAACCAGCCTGATCTATCCTGAACCAACATGATCTATCCTGAACAAATCTGGTCTATTCTAAACCTACCTGATCTATCCTGAATCAACCTGATCCCTCCTAAACCAACCTTGTCTATCCTGAACCAACCTGATCTATCCTGAACCAACATGATCTATCTTGAACCAACCTGGTCTCTCCTAAACCAGCCTGATTTATCGTGAACCAATTTGGTTTATCATGAACCAACTTGGTCTATTCTAAACCAACCTGATCTATTCTGAACCAACCTGGTCTATCCTGAACCAACCTGATCTATCCTGAACCAACCTGGCCTATCCTAAACCAACCTGATCTATTCTGAACCAACCTGATCAATCCTGAATAAACCTGGTCTATCCTAAACCAACCTGATCTATTCTGAACCAACCTGATCTATCTTGAACCAACCTGGTCAATACTGAACCAACCTGATCTATTATGAATCATGCTGGTCTATCCTAAACCAATCTGATCTATCCTGAACCAACCTGGTCTATCCTGAACCAACCTGGTCAATACTGAACCAACCTGATCTATCCTGAACCAACCTGATCTTTCCTAAACCAACCTGATCTATCCTGAACCAACCTGATCTATCATGAACCAACCTGGTCTATCTTGAACCGACCTGGTCAATACTGAACCAACCTGGTCTATCCTGAACCAACCTGGTCTATCCTAAACCAACCTGGACTATCCTGAACCAACCTGGTCTATCCTAAACCAACCTTGTCTATCCTGAACCAACCTGGTCAATCCAAAACCAACCTGATCTATCCTGAACCAACCTGATCTATCCTGAACCAACCTAATCTATCCTGAACCAACCTGGTCTATTCTAAACCAACCTAATCTATCCTGAACCAACCTGGTCTATCCTGAACCAACCTGGTCTATCTATCCTGATCTATCCTGAAACTTCCGTCCTGTTCTATATATTCCCGGGTATCGGAGAAGTGCGGTTAACCCCTCCCCTGTCTCTAACCTATCCTGGAGACCCGGCCTCGGCTGCTCAAACCCCGGTTAGGAGACGGATCCTCGATCCTAACACATTAAATGGTTAATATCTAAGGTTAGGAAGGTTTAGTTTACTTACAATATCAGATAGCTAAGGATATGCTCTACTTGGAAAAGTAATGGTTTAAAAAAGAGGAAATCATGTTTTCAGTTTTGATGAAAATAAATCAAAGGATTTAAATTGCCTCGATATATCTATAAAAAACCATATATACAGGGTTACCCGCAAAGGATGAGACTGTAAAGACGGCCGGAAACTCATAAAATGTGACAATCCTATGTTAATTTTTATATTCTGACTTAGATATGGTTATATCATGGGGTATAGTTCCTGATTTAGAAAAGAAAGAAAGAAGTTTATAGTTTTAGTAAACCATGAATATAAGGAAATGGACAGGACAGGACTTTCTAACCCCTATATCTTTGAAGCCCAAAGTTTTAAATATCAAAGGTTCACACCGGCAGGTAGCGAATATGTAGGGATGGTAAAATTTGAGTTTGTGGGCAAAGATTCATTTCCTTAATTGTCATTCCAGGCATAATGCGATGTTTAAGAAAAATGGTGTTCTGTTAGATTAAGGAATCTACGAGAAAGGTAAAGAATGATTATTATTCACAATTTAAGTTAATCATTTCTTCAATCTGGAATAGGAAAATATAATAGTGTAAAATGTTAAACTCAAAATACAAATATATAATCAAAATAAAAAAATACTCAAAAAGAAAAAAGTCGAAAGATCTAAAAAAATTACAATCTTTTTACTCACAAGAAACTTAGATTTTATCATACATTTTAAATTGTGAATAATCTATGTAAATTTATGACTTTTTCAGATATCAGACCAAACAAAAAACAGTGGAATCGTTTAGAAAATCTGTTAATATTTTTCTAAAAGAGAAAACGTAGTGACATGATACGTATTTGAATTATACTATTTCAGATTCTTGTATATTTTACTAAAAGTAAAAAATCTTGAATATTCTAAACCAAACCAAATAAACGATGCCCATTTCTAGGAAACCCTGATTTTAAGACATTCTAAAAGTTTGAACAATTAGCCGGGAAGAATAAGAAGAAGTATACAAAAGAATAGATTGGTTTAAGCAGAAATATTGATTTATTGATAAAGTTTAAAGTCAAGTCCCAGGAGAGAAATCAAAACTTAGTCTAGGATTATGTTTCTTTTCCAGCACTAAGCTCATTTCTTAGCTTTATAGTTCTTTGTCAGCTTTACAATTCCTTGTCAGCTGTACAATTCCTTGTCAGCTGTACATTTCATGGTCAGCTGTACAATTCCTAGTCAGCCGTACAATTCCTTGTCAGCTGTACATTTCATGGTCAGCTGTACAACTCCTTGTCAGCTGTACAATTCCTTGTCAGCTGTACAATTCCTTGCCAACTTTACAATTCCTTGTCAGCTGTACAATTCCTTGTCAGCTGTACATTTCATGGTCAGCTGTACAACTCCTTGTCAGCTGTACAATTCCTTGTCAGCTGTACACTTCCTTGTCAGCTGTACATTTTCTTGTCAGCTGTACAATTCCTTGTCAGCTGTACAATTATGATGTATAATCTGTTAAAGGATACGAGCTATGATGGAAAATCTGTTCTAGGATACGAACTATGATGTATAATCTGTACTAGGATATTAACTATGATGTATATCTGCTCTAGGAAACGAACTATGATATATAATCTGTTCTAGGATACGAACTAAGATGTAAAATCTGTTCTTGGATACGAGCTATGATGTATAATCAGTTCTAGGATACGAACTATGATGTATATCTTTTCTAGGAAACGAACTATGGTTTATAATCTGTTCTAGGATACGAACTATGATGTATATCTGTTCTAGGAAAAGAACTATGGTGTATAATCTGTTCTAGGATACGAACTATTATTTATAATCTGTTCTAGGAAACGAACTATGATGTATATCTGTTCTAGGATACAAGCTATGATGTATAATCTGTTCTAGGAAACGAACTATGATGTATAATCTGTTTTAGGATACGAACTATGATGTATTATTTGTTCATTTTACTTCTCTTCTCTTCTTTCCTCTCCCTCTCCTCTCAATTGAACATCAATACTATCCATGTTCCTAAATTTACTCAGGTAACTAACCATGTTCCTAAATTTACTCAGGTAGCTAACCATGTTCCTAAATTTACCCAGGTTATTTACTATCCATATTCCTAAATTTACTCAAGTAACAATCCATGTTCTTAAATTTACCCAAGTTACTATCCAAGTTCCTGATTAATTTACCCAGGTAACTATTAATGTTCCTTAATTTAGTCAGGTAGATATTATTGCACCTAAGACAATGATTAATGTTCTTCTAATTTATTTTTCAAAACCTGATAAAATTCAAGTTAAAATGTTCAACCAAACACTCAATCCTCTCTCATTAGTGAACAATAGAAAGCTTGAACAAGAGATATATTTCTATCTAGGTAAACCGATATCATTCTTTCCATTCAAAAGTTTACAGCCTTTCCTGGGATTTTTAAACCCGTCTTTGAGATTTTTAACAAACAAACAAACAAGAAAAACAAGATTGAACATACAGACAGACAGACAGGGTTCGTGGCATGGTTTATGTAAATATGTTAAGTCTGGCTAAACCATGTAAAAGAAAAGGAAGTAAAAATGCCAATTTCTGTTCATGAATTTAATTTCCTTCGGTATGATATCAAATAAATACTTTCTAGCTTCACGTAGGGTTTCCAAATTTTCGTTAAATCTCTTTTGCGGAAATTTTGAATTTCGAATTTCTTTCGTTCATTTTCGCGAATTTCGTTCAATGAAAATTTCGATGGAAACCCTAGCTTCAAGTAATTATATTTTTCTATTTAGAACAATTTTCTTGTTTAACAACATATTTGTAATAAAAATGCTAAGCCAGTGTGTTCTCAATTAGATTATATTACTATTTCAAAACTAAAAATCGACAAATTCAACAATATTTTTCGTCCATATTTCTTATATTTTTTGCAGTATGTGATATACATTGTACAATTGTACATAAGTTTTTCAAAAACCAAATAAAGTTGTTCTTTTGCCAAAATCTTCTCAATTTGATAAAAATTGAAAATAGATAAAACCTCGGTAAGATTTCGGCTGATGCCTGATACCCAAATAGGATGCGACTGTAAAGACGACCTGAATCTCTTTGAATGTGACGTCTCCGCGGGCTTAACTAAGTCTTCTGCCTTAAAGAAAATCTTTTAAAGGCTCAATCAATGATAAGACAAAAAAGGAACACGTTTACAGTTGCAGGAAATCATTAATATAAGAAAATTTCTGTACAATTGTCTCTGAAGTCTCATTTCTTTTTGGGTAACCCTGTATCCAATATCCGATGACTACAATGTTCCAAAATGTCGTCTTTATTAAGTTTTTGTTCTCTAGGTTGGTGAGTCCACGTCTCTGAAGTGTGATTACGATCTAGAAGATGATAAACTGTACAGTATCAAGTGGTACAAGGATAACCAGGAGTTCTACAGGTATATTTACTACAGTACATTAATATCATTAGAAGGGGAGGATTAATAAGAAAGTCAATCAATGCGACATTATTGGTACGACTTTGTGACCTCGTAGCTCCATTATTTTTAATTTCACACACATATATGAGAATAGCAATTTATCCGGTTCAATACTAGAAATTCAAATCATTTTTTTCTTTTTAATAGCTCTTCAAAACGGGAAGTTATGATTGAAAGATTTCTTTTTTATGATCAATTGACTTTAGTTCAACGCCCCGTTTTACCGTCTGTATGTTGAATGTCTATTGTCTATTGTACAATAAGTACACAACTTGCTCCGGTATAAAAATCGGGTCGGACCAGAGGAATTGAACCGGAGCTTTCAGTGGTGCAGGCAAGGTTATAATTCAGGGTTACCCACACAGGATGAGACTTCAATGATCTGATTAAAATATATTGAAATATATTAAAATAATATTTTCCGCTGTTCCTATTTTTATTTAAAACTAACATGAGAACCCAGCTTAGCCTGGTTAAACTAAACTTTCTCTGTAAATTCTCACAATTTCCTACATTATTTAAATACCAGAAATCCGCAAGTCACTTTTAAAGAGAAACCATAGTTGAAAATAATCAATTATCATATTTTAAAGTACGGACATTTTAATTATATTCATTCTTGTTTACACAAGGCTAAATGGGTGTCGGTGAAATTATGTCCATGGTACCTTTAGTATTAAAATAATACCAGCGCAATCCACAAAATATATATACAAATATTATTTACATAATTGATCTAAAGCTTCTAGACATTTACCATCGATGCTTGAAACTAGAATCTTTTGTTTACGATAATTTATTATCGTGTCATACTCAGTAAAAGTATATTCTACAATTCAGTTCAAAAGTACAGAGTTTTATTGCCTACAGAGTATGCACGCAAAAGACTAAAAATGTTCCAATATTTAGAAATGTTCCAATGTTCAAATTTGTTTCAATTTCCAGATATGTTCCAATGTTTAGATTTGTTACAACGTTTAAATATGTGCCAATGTTTAGATATGATCCAATCTTTAGATATGATCCAATGTTTAGATATATTCAAATGTTTAGATATGTTCCAATGTTTAGATACGTTCCAATGTTGAGATACGTTCCAATGTTTAGATATGTTCCAATGTTTATATATATGTTCCAATGTTTAGATATGTTCCAATGTTTAGATATGTTTCAATGTTTAGATACGTTCCAATGTTTAAATATGTTCCAATGTTTAGATATGTTCCAAAGGATATTCCTCCTTCACAAAGGTTTCAAGTTCCTGGTTCCGATGTAAGGTTGGAACTCTCAGACATGGTAAAAAAAAATTTTATTTCAAGTTAAAACTTTTTGATTTTATTAATTTTTGTTTGTCAGGAGATTGTTCATTTACACAACATATCATTAATATCTGCTGGACTGTACACTTGTGAAGTTAGTACTGAAGCACCCAGGTAAACTAATGTACTGCAATATTTGCTAAATGTAAACAAACTGAGTCTTTTTACATTCCATCTCCAACCTGCAGGATACTGTGATGTCAACAAACTGGATCTGATTACTCACATCAATTTGTAATTTACTGATCCTTATATCTTTGCAATCTGGCAATGTAAACCTTTTATAAGTCAAACTATTTAATCTAACAGAATTCGAGATTTGAAATATTAAAAGTCTACGACATGAGGTGGAGAAAATTAGATGGATTAGAAAATAAAGTTTCTGTCCTCTTATAAACTATATTTTGGTTTCTGTCCTCTTTTAAACTATATTTTGGTTTCTGTCCTCTTTTAAACTATATTTTGGTTTCTGTCCTCTTTTAAACTACATTTTAAATTTCTGTCCTGTTTCAAACTACACTTTTGTTTCTTGTCCTGTTTTAAAGTACATTAAACTCATTCTTTTACAATTTGTTTTAGCAAACTGTCCCATTAAATTAAGATATCTTGGTTTTTAAAAGTAAATCATGATGACCATGAAAACTAATCCTTCTATTTATATTAATGCAATCATGTATTTTTGTAAAAATAAAGGAATAATTTCGTGCTAACTAATCCTCGTGTCTTCCTCTCAGGAAAAAGCTTCTAAATATTTTCTGAAAAAAAAATATTTAATTATAACAAGAAAATTTTTTTCTTCTAAACTTTGCGTCAAAGAAAGGAATATTAATTTTGTAATGTTTGTCCAATAGTTTAGAAATATCTAAAGATTTTAAAGATTTTTTGAAAACTTTTTATCTTTTAAGCATTGTTTCGAACCCAGTTTTCTATCTTTGTATCCTCCTAACCCAGATTTTCTATCCTTCTAAACCAGTTTGTCTATCCTTCTATCCTTTTATCCTTCTAACCCAGAGATTTTCTATCCTTCTAACCAGTTTATCTAGCAATTTAAACAAGTTTATCTATCCTTCTATCCTTTTATACTTCTAACCCAGATTTTCTATCCTTTTAATCCAGTTTATCTATCAATCTAACCTAGGTTTTCTATCCTTCTACACCAGTTTATCTATCAATCAAAACCAGTTTATTTATAAATCTAAACAATTTTATCTATCAATCTAAACCAGTTTATCTATCAATCTAAACCAGTTTATCTATCAATCTAAACCAGTTTATCTATCCTTCTATCCTTTTATCCCTCTAGACGAGTGTATCTATTCTTTATACTTCTATCCTTTTATAAATCTAACCCAGATTTTCTATCCTTCTAAACCGGTTTATCTATCCTTCTATCCTTTTATCCTCTAAAGGAGTGTATTTATCCTACTATATTTATAAACCATGGTCTGTTTTTACCTAGGTTTCGTACTACAGCAGTTACTCAAAATATGAGAGTTATTCATCCCCCTGAGTCAGGTTCGTTATTCTGTTATCATTGTTTATTATTTACTTAATTTATGATTATTATTCATTAACCTGGCGGTTTAGTTTCATAAAAATCTGCAAAAACTTTTACAATGGTTCTTGTTCGTCACCTCAGGCCAGATAATTGTTATGATGACTTTTTTAAACATTGAAAAAGTATATAAACATTAAGAAAAAGACTAAATTAATATTCTAGAAAAATTCTTTTTTCCTCTTTGTTGTTGAATTAGTATGGACAGGGCCAGACACTGTTTAGAAGATCTAAACCTTACTTCGAGTTTTGAATATTTTACCTTTCAGGACCTTATCTTCTTGGAGGTAGAACATCAGGATACAGGTACAGAATACAGGATATACGGGATACATGATAAAGAATACAGGATACAGGATACAGGATACGGGATACAGGATACAGGATACAGGATACAGGATACAGGATACAGGATACAGGATACAGGATACAGGATACAGGATACGATAAAGGAAACAGGATACAGGATACAGAATGAAGGATAAAGGAGAGGGGATACAGGATACAGGATACAGGATACAGGATACAGGATACAGGATACAGGATACAGGATACAGGATACAGGATACAGGATACAGGATAAGGATACATGATACAGGATACAGGATACATAATACAGGAAACAGGATACAGAATACAGGATACAGGATACAGGATACAGGATACATGATACAGAATGAAGGATAAAGGAAACAGGATACAGGATACAGAATGAAGGATAAAGGAGAGGGGATACAGAATACAGGACACAGGATACAGGATACAGAATGAATGATGAAGGAATCAGGATACAGAATACAGGATACAGGATATAGGATAGAGAATATAGGATACTCAACACTTGAATAAGGATACATACAGGATATAAGATACAGGGTGTATATAGGATACAGGATATATAATGCTCAAAATGCAAGATTTTGAAAACGCGCTACAGAATATATATGATAATAGTCTTCAATTCGTATTAGAAAAAATGTACTTCCTTGCATTTAATAAATATAATAATTTTCTGCCCCTTTTATTGAAGATATTCTTTTAGTTCCACAATACAAGTTGCCGCCACCCCAGGCTTCTGGCGGCAAAAGAGTGAATGACAAGGATTCAAAGAAAGTCCCCAGAATAAGAAACAGAGAGAGAAATCAGAGAAATAAAGAGAACCATTTATATTTCTAGAGTTGGAGAGATGTTAGACGTAAACTGTTCTTCTCCTGCATCTCATCCCCCTGTACTGCTAAAATTCTACCTGAACGATGAACCGGTACATAATATAGTATATTTGTACTGCTCAAATTCTACCTAAACGATGAACCGGTACATAATATAGTATATTTGTACTGCTCAAATTCTACCTAAACGATGTTTTGGTTTCTGTCCTC